CATTTCCAGCCAGCAAAATATCATCCACATACAAGGATAATATTGTAAAACTGCTACCACTCTTCAAGACATATACACAGTTATCCAATTTATTTGCAACAAAACCAAGTTGGATAACAGTATTGTGAAATTTGAGATACCACTGTCTAGATGATTGTTTTAAACCATATAAAGATTTCTTTAATTTATATACTTTGTTTTCTTGTCCTTCAACCTGGAATCCCTCAGGTTGATTCATATATATTACTTCCTTCAACTCTCCGTTGAGGAATGCAGTCTTGACATCCATTTGGAAAAGTTCCAAGTCAAGATGTGCAACAATTGCTAAGATAATTCTTATAGAAGCAAACTTAGCCACCGGAGAGTAAGTCTCCTGATAATCTATACCTGCCTTCTGAGTAAAACCTTTAGCAACTAATCGGGCTTTAAATGTATCAATAGACCCATCAACCCGATATTTCTTCTTTAACACCCATTTACATCCTATGGACTTCCTATCTTCTGGTAAGACACATAGCTCCCATACATTGTTTCTCTCTATTGAGTCAAGATCCCTTTTCATGGCTTCCAGCCATTGTTCCGATTCATGTGTGTTCATAGCATCCACATAATTCAAGGGATCAGCTTGTTCATCTATGTTAATGTCTACCGAGAAACAGGATGGTTCGCATGAATACAGATAATAATCATCCATCCATACAGGTGTTGTTCTGGGTCTTTTATTACCACTAAGGTTGACAGGTTGGACAGGTTCTGCTGGTTGATTTACCATAGGCATATTCTCATTTAAGGGCTCATCTTCCATTATTGGATGATTTACTTCATCCACTATGTCCAGGTCATTGTTGGGAACATTATCTAAGTCTAACAGAGGTTGTACTGCCTCTTGAACTTGTTCCTTTTCCTCTAGATTTTCTAGAAAAGTAGCATCTCTACTTTCAATGACCCCTTTCTCTTCATGGAAGAACCTATATCCTTTAGACTTTTCAGAATAGCCTATAAATCTACACTTTAAGGTTTTGAGATCCAGCTTATCTCTAACTTGATATGGAATGAGAACATGTGCAACACAACCCCATTTTCTTAAGTGACTTAATTCAGGTTTGTGTCCATTCCAAATCTCATACGGTGTTGACTCGACTGATTTTGTGGGAATCCTATTCAAAATATAATTCGCAGTCAATACTGCTTCTCCCCAAAAATCCTTGGAGAGACCAGAATGTGACAGCATACCTCTCACTGCATTCATCAATGTTCTATTTTTTCTTTCAGCCACACCATTTTGTTGTGGCGTGTAAGGCATAGTAGTATGTCTCTTAATGCCATAATGAATACAATAGTTTTCAAATTCCTTTGAATTGAATTCTCCACCTCTATCAGTTCTTAACACCTTAATATATCTTCCAAGTTTCCTTTCTACTTCTGTCTTGTATCTTTTAAAACATTCAAATGCTTCTGATTTTCTGTTTAAAAGATACACAAAAGTATACTTGGAATAATCATCTATGAAAGTTATAAAATATTCTTTATTACCACGTGTCTTTACGCTTAACGGACCACAAATGTCAGAATGAACTAACACTAAAAGTTTACTTGCCCTCTGATTTCAGAAAATGACTTTCTAGTCATTTTCCCTGTTAAGCAGTGTTCACAGGGTAATGTCCTTACACCTGTCAGATTTGGTAACAAATCCATTTTAATTATCTGATCTATCTTTCTATTACCAGGGTGTCCTAGTCTCATATGCCATAGATCAAAATCAGATAAAAGACACGAGGAATAAAGCAAATCAGAATTCTTATTGCAAATTTCAGGTTTTACAACAGAAAGACAGAACAAATCATGTTCGGGTACAAACTTGCCCATAGCAAACACCTTCTTGTCTTTCCCAATAGAAACCCTATTGTTGTAAAACCTAACTTCAAGGCCTTTCTTCAGAAGAGCTGGGACGGAGATCAGATTACGTCTTATGCCAGGCGCATAAAACACTTCCTTGAGAACCATGATGCTGTCCCCAAGATCCAATCTGTACGAACCAATACCTTCAACATCTAGGTAGGTATTGTTCCCCATGTAAATCCTTTGATCTCCCTTCTTCAGCTCCTTGAAGTCGCATATCCCTTCCTTCGTCTTTGCAATATGTCGGGTAGCTCCCGAATCAATCCACCAGCCACCAGCGTCAGTAGTTGCAGCATTGCACTCAATGACGCCGATGAACTCCCGCTTACCGGATCCTCCTTGTTCCGGGCGTTTGGGACCGCCCTTATTCTTCGCCTGTGGACAGTTGGCTTTGAAGTGGCCGAACTTCCTACAGATATAACATGATTCAGGAGGTCCTTTCTTACCGCGAGCACGTTGCTGGCTAGGTCCTTTGAAGGAAGGCTTGACAGGTCCAAACTGATGAGTTCCTTGTGCCTTGCGATAGTGAGCTGCATTTGCTTCTTCTTGTTGCACAATGTTTACATCTGAACCTTTTCTCCTAGCTAGTAAATCCTGTTCCATTGCTAACTAGGCTGGCAAGTTAATAACACGTTTAATGGTTCCATTACAGCCATATCTAGTGAAGGTGGCAAGCTATTCAAAATAGTTGCCACTTGTAATTTCTCAGGAATTTCAGATCCTGCTGAAGCTAGGTCCTTAGCCATGACAATCATCTTGTTCACATGTTCGGTAACATCTTCACCTTCTTGCATACGGCTTAAATTAAATCTATGCATCAAGAGCTGTATGTTCACCTCAGAGGTAGTGTCATACTTCTCTTTAACTGCAAGCCACATTTCCTTAGCCGTATTATAGTTTTCAAAATTTTTGATTAAACTATCCTCCATGAACATTAACATCAGGCTTTTAGCCTTATTGTCCTTAAGTTGCCACTGATCAAGCTCTCTTTTCTGAGCGTCAGTAGGATCATCACCAAGAGTTGGTGCAGAAACATCTTAGACACTATCTAGATTGTCATGGATAAGTCCGTACTTAATCTTCCTATGCCACATATCATAGTTGGAACCATTAAGGCGTTCTATCTTCGCCAGTTCAGATGCAATTAATTTACTAGCCATGACGATAATTAAGCTGTATGATATTTCAAACAGAATTGATTTAGGTTTTAAAAAAAACTAACTAACTTAATAAATGATACTAAGACAACTATAAATAAGATTTTTTTTAAGTGTTACTGTAATAATAAAACTAATTGATGCTTAAACAACTAAAAAAATGTCAATAACAGTAATACAAAAAAATAATAGTAATTGATGCTTAAAAAAAACTAACTTAAAAAAAAACTTAACTTAATTAATTGGTACTAAAACGCCTACTAGCAAAAAAAATGATAAGTATTATCAAGGTTAAAACAGAGATAAATAAAAAAAACGTTGTTTTTAACTGTTCAACTACAGACCCCTTTTGCCCGTATTCAAACAGACCCCCAATTTTTTTTTTAAAAATTAAATCTTTACAAAATCCACAAATCAATGGGACAATCAACTAATTGAGTTATCCCTTTTCGTTCAATATCCTTTCTTATGTTCTTCAAAAAAAAATTAAAAAAACAAACAGGGAGAGGGGAAAGGGCCAACGAGATTGAGATTTTTAGGGCTTACAGTGAGGAGGGAAAAATAGAATCAACCAGCGAACGAGAGAGGCACTGTTGATGGTCGTCGAGCTTGAAGGCGGACCCTTGAAGTCGGTCGAAAGCGGAGCCTTAACGACAACAGAAATTCTGTTGGAAGAGCAGGCGAGTTGGCGATTTCAGAGAACGGAGGACGGCGGTTCGACGGAGCTTCGGGCTGTTGTGTATGGGTCAGCCGTTGGCAGGAGCAGATCAGCGGGCGTAGGGATCTGGTGAGGAGGCGATTTGGAGATCGTAGTAGCTCTGATACCAATGAAGGGGGAGGATACGATTGATTTTTGGGACTCCGATGGAGATTGTTGTTATCAGATGAGAAGAACTCATCCCTATTTATGGGCGTTTCCTCTCCACCTGCGTCCCCAAAATCTGCCCATTATCTCTCTCAAACCGACTCTCCATAAGACTCGTTCTCTTCAACTGAAGAAATCCCAGAACGTGGGATATTCTCAACAAAACGGCTTGAGTCCTTTGATGGGTCGGATAACAATTTGGCCCATGAGGCCAAACCCACTTACAATATATATATCCTTTAGCTTTTGATAATGTTTTTATTACTATCAATAAACATGAAACTAACATCCTCTCTATTTTGGCCATTTTCACTTATAACGATCTTTAAGCACAACATCATCACCATTTTAACTACTTTTCAAAGCAACCTTTGTTGTATGATTATCACACAACTTTTTTTAATAACTTATATAAGCTTTTTTTATAAGCAACTTAATATAAGATCTAAGGATACCAAATTGACCCTTACTAAGGTGAATGAAAGAGGACTTAATTTTACCCCATTTTAGGAACTTTAACAAAGGGAGAAGACATCAAACTCTATCTCAGCATTTGGATTTAATATTGAAAGGATTAAACTGTCGCTTTGTAAACAATCATTTTTGATCAATTCCCTTCCCATAACACCCCTATTCGAAGAGGTGCAAAAGCTCACAAAATTTCAACTTATTTACTTGCTATTCTCTTTGTTACCCC